AGTATTTATATTGGAGGATAAGTCAGGTTAATTAACAAATTATTTTATTTAAGTTAAATTTTGATTAATTTTTTTCCTAGAAATATATTGATATGTAATTAAAAAATTAATTGCTCCATGCTACTGGAGAGTGGAGACCATGTTTCTTTATTGAATTCGCAATTATAATTTTCCATGGTAAAAAAAATAAAAATAATCATATTCTTTTATTTTATTGCTGGAGTTAACTTCTGAAGCGCGTATAAATTGGCTAGTTATATCCTATTATCCCTTCTGATCAAGTTCTCTACAAGACTATAAGTAGAGCAGTAGAGTTTAATCGAGGAACACTGGAAAACATCTTTAATTAAAATATAAGCTAGCGATTAAATTGATCTATGCATACCATACACGTACTTGCATGAATGAATATATTGATCAGCACAGAGAATTTGCAACAATGTAAAATAAAAAACCCAGAAATTCAAGTCACATCTTCATTCTAGACCTGGGGTCCAGGACTGCCATTACGAAGTTCAAAAAATAACTCAAATCCATCATCATGGATATCTAACAAGTGTAAGAAAGAAGACAAAGATTAAAAAGGAACAATCATCATAACTAAGAAACCCAAAGAACATAATGATTAGTAACAATGGGAGACAACATCTGTGGTGGACCACTGACTCTGAGTTCAAGAAACCCTATTGTTTTGCGGGAGGAGTCGGAGAGAGTGAGAGTGAGAGCAAAGGGCAAATAGCAATTAGAAGCTTTCCTCTTTATTAAAAAACAAGACTTAAAAAAGATGTTCAATGTTGCGTTAACCACTGAGGATGCTTGTCCCCTCTTCTTCACAGATGTTTTGAGAACCGCACCACCTAAGTTAATTGTAACTACTAATTGCTAATAAATAATGTTAAGCACTTGTTTATTGTCTTGCTAGCTGGTTAGCTATGTTCCACTTTACCCAAAATGGAATGTCTATGATTTTCCCTAATCAGATATTTACCAGGCATTCCCTATTGGAAATTTGCAGTATAAAAATAATTTGGCGTAAAAGTAATTCCTTCAGGCTCTTCAGACACCACTACTTTACTTCAGGAACTTAATTTAAGCAAGGACTCCCTGTGCTGAAAGAACACTGTAGATAGCTAGCATTTGGTATATTTTTAATAGTATACTTTTGCTAATCGGATTCTAAGTAGGTCATCCAAAGGATAACTATTGTGCCCATGTCCACATCTAAGTTTAAAAAAACGTTTTGTAAGTTTTTGATATGTTTTATTGCATCTAGTCGGCTAGAGCGTATCAAATATATCTCTGATTTTCTACCCTCGGCTAGAGCGTATCAAATATATCTCTGACTTTCTACCCAAAAAAAGAAAAATAGATTTCAATTCCATACATGGCAAGAATAGCAATCCTACGATCAAGGTTTTGTGAGGGGAGTCCATTTACGTACGTGTACGTGTAAGCTTCCACGCGTACAGTCAAATATGTATGCGCGAGAGACAGAGAGATAAAGAGAGAGACGCATCACCAACCAGGTCGTGAAAGTGAAGAGAAGACAGCAGGGGATGCATTGTCGGCCATGTCTTGTCTTTCCCATAGTCAAACCTCATTTCTGCTCATTCAAAGATTAGTGGGAATTTCGGCTCCTTCAATTTTTTTTGGTGTCAGATATTTATTTATCCCCACAAAAATTAGGTTCGAAGGGACCCTCTTGGATTTCATGGCCGACTTACAACCACTCTATTGATCTCTCTTTTAAATTTCTGTAAAAGAAGGGGATCGCTGAAATATTTTATACGCTGAAAACAGAACTAATTAGGGTTTTCATTATATACTAGATATTTCATGTAAGGATAATCTCTGTTCTTTGGAAATACTTTGACTTGACCAAAAAAAACTAATTAAATGGTGGTTTGTCTTGAAGAAGAATTTTTCTTATGGTACCTCATCAATTATAATTAGTATAATTAATCTACTCGATAGAGAAGATTTTGTATATATTCAAATTTAATTTATAGAAATTCATGTTTAAAAATAATATTTATATAAACAATCTGATTTTTTAATCAAATAATATTTGTTACTTACCTTGAAAACCGCTCATATATACGAAAAATCTCCCAAAATGTAGAAAAAAAGACCACTCCATTTAATATATTAAACATACGAGTATTTATGTTCCTCACACTGTGAAGCACACATGTATACTTTCTTCGATTTAATGGCATATTTAGTCTATTGACAAATGTGATTTTTACACCTTAAAAATATAATTGTCACAAGTATATATGACGGTATAAGTACCTAATTGTATTCTCTAAAACCACTAATTAGAATTTAAAATTATAATAGTGGTTATGATTCAAAATATTTTTTGTTTAGAAATACATAAAATTATATATATTTTTATTTTTTAAAATTATTTTTAATATTAACATAAAAGTATCTGAATATATATATATATATAATAATTTTTTAATAAAATAAAAAAATTGAAATTTAAGGGCCAAAATAACAATTGTTCAGGGAGGAAAAGTGCCTTTAAACATACTTTCTTCTGGATGTTTTTTTTTTGGCGCAATTTTTCTAGTTTACTTCCATCTTTCGTAACTCTCATCCCTGCAGGCTGCAGCAACTTTATACTGAAAAAATGGTCAGAGAGATGAAGACTACGATTTACAGGTGCACAGCTTATGTTTTAAAAAATGTACAATATTCTCATATATGGTGAAAATTTCGTCAGAAGAAGATAATTGCACAAAAGAGGCTAGCGCGCTCTAAATTGTTCAAAACTGTTCCCAGGAATAGAACTGTGAGTATGGTGCACACATATGTCTCAGGGTCCCCTGGATATGACGAGATGCTTGTCTCCTTAAAGAGCTGAAAAAGTCTTGTAGGCCCTCATGAAAGAGGCCGCTAGCTAGAGGTGCTCAAAGCTTTCCCCGCCAATACGCGTTAGAGTTGTACAGGTTTGTATCTAACTTTTATTGTGTCGTTTCTAGTTCTTTCATTAAAAAGATATATTACCTAATATTCTGTTAAAAGAATTTCAATAAGAAATATCTCATCATTTACAAAATTTTCATTATATTTTATTTAATAACAAAAATATTTTCATATTAAACAGTATAACTTTACATCAAATTAGAAGAAAAACCGAACCACAATCTCGTGCTCTTTTCATCACCGGAATCTGGATGCGTATCCAAACAGCAACTGCCATATTTGCGATTTGAGAAAATCATACACGGGGCATAGCTTCCAAGATGATGGCGAATATGGGTTATCGTGAAGGGTTGACATTAGGTGCTTCGGGTCAGGGCAAGTTGGACCCTATCTCTCTGAAGGTACTCCCACCAAAGCAATCACTGATCTGGATCGTCTCTAAAAGAGGAAAGTCAGCAGGCGAGATCTGCTTGCTTTTGATGATATGATTAAGGACTTGAGGATACGTGTGGAGAAGTTTGTAGAGATGAAAAGTAGGGAAAAACAAAAAAAAACGAGTTGGTGGTTTATGAGTATTTATGCTACCACCGGTAGAGAAAAAGAGAAGAAATGACTCAAGTTTTGAGGCCATTATGCTATATATTGTTAGAAAAAATTGAGCAACACCACAGGCCACAGCGACAACACCACACGCCAGAGTTAAAGTCAGCAATCAACAACCAGCAGTTCTTGTCCTAGACATCAATTTAATTGATTGGATTCTTTGGATTGCATCAATTTAACTAATTTGAGTTCAAATTTGATTCGAGTATTTTGAAACCCTAGATTGCTAGAAGAAAAGGAGAGAAATAGCCACTGCCCATAAATTTTAAAAGAGACGTGTGAAGAACAGCACCGTGTTTGATTTGTGTTTAGAAAAAAGAAATAGTACGAAAAGAAAGAGCAATCATCACTTGAATTGAATAGAAAAGATCATATGTATTATCTTGTTGATTTCTCAATATAATATATCGTTAGACTTGAAATTTTTTTATTAATCTAGAGTATAAATTGTAATTTTTAAAAACTTAATAAACATGTTCAATCTTCTATATCAAGATATAGGATACTAGAAGTAATTAATTTCTAGAAGAAAATGAAAACTTGTAAGATTTTTCTAACTAGTAAAGCTAGGCTACAGGAAGCAGAAATCACAAAAATATAAATTCCTTACAGGAAAAGAATCGAAGACTAGTTTCTGTCTTAAGGGGTGTTTAGATTTGAATCTCTAACAATTTGGCAAGATGGTAAAGAAAATGATCACCGAAGAGTTATTTATTTAAGTGTGCGTGATCGATATATAGTACCTGAGAATATTTCCATTATAAATATTAATTAAAACCATCCAATAGCAGTATCAAAAAGAAAAAGAAAAAAGTCTAAAGGCTTCTATCCACGTAAATATATTTTTGGAAAGAAGCTGGAGATTACTACCGAAGGATCTCTGCTTCATTTCGTTTTCTTCTAATTGTTGCAGCTTAATCATGAAGCAATACGAAAATCAGGTCAAGGTTAGTACTGTTGACGGTAAACAGAGGAATCATGTAGAAAACGAGAGACATGGTAACATGATAATTGTAACCGTCCAATCAAAGACCATCTTTTTTCTCTCATCATGACACGAAAATGCAATTGTCCACCCTCCTTTTGCTTTCTTTCAATCTTTCATCACATAGAAATGGACACTCTCTTGAGCTAAGGGTCCCCCACATAGTCTTGACTTGCAATCTATAAACAGTAATTAATAAAGGATGGATTTGTGCATTGTCGCGTGACATGCATGATTAAAGAAGAGCCATTTTCAATTTTAGCTTTGCTTAGTTTGAGAGGAAGATGCTTTGATTAATTTTATCATTATTGACAAATTGCTAATTTCTAAATGTAGCTGTTTCATCTCAATGGAGAATATATATATATATATAGCAGAAACAGATGATAATAGAAAGAAAAGGAAAGGAAAGGCAGGAAAATGAAATTAATGAAAAAGAAGGGACAGGAAAATTAGTGAACACATGAGAATATTAAAAAGCAAAGCCAAAAAATATTTACAAGCTAGATAAACTATTATACAACGAGGTGTTCACATGAAAAGAAATGCAACTCTAACTCACTATTCTCTATCTCAAAATTCAAAAACACACAACGTATGTGATCACTGGCACTGTTTGATGAATCTTTTATCCTGTTTTCGTTTCACATCCTAACCTCCTCCATTTTTATTGCTTGGCTTATACTTCAGGACAGGCAGAATAGTACCCAAAAAAAGTCACAGTAATGACTGCCACACCCCTCTTGTTTCTTTCTTTATGTTGTTAATTAATCCATTGATGAGGTTGTAAAGATTTGTAGTAAGGAGAATTAATGTTAAGAATAGCTCCACAGACTTTCTCCATCAGAAGTTCCCTGTGAGTCATCAGATGGCGATGAGGTTATTCTTGGTGGCGAAAGCAGCATTCCTCCTGCCATGTCCACCAGCAAATTTGGCATATCAAACAGTGCCTCCTCATCAACAAATTCTTCTCCACCCGATTCCAAAAAGGTACCAACGGCACAGTCATTCCTACGTTGTTCATCTAATGCTTCATTGTAGCTCATTTCAGCCTTTTTTAATGCAGCAGCAGCATTAGCTGCATTACGAATATCAGTGGGTGATGTTGATGCAGGAACAGGATAAGTCCCAACAGAATTCGGGAAGTTAAGAACTGCATCAGTACCTTTTAGGGCTAGGACAGCCACATCATAGGCGGCTGCTGCCATCTCCGGCTTTGGGAATGTACCAAGCCAAATACGAGTAGTTTTTCGTGGCTCCCGGATTTCGGACACCCATTTGCCACTGCGGCTCCGGATTCCACGATACAATGGGTGCCTTTTGGAGCTAGATGAAGTTGTGGCCATGCTGGTGGCTTACAATATTGTTGAGGAGGATGATATTCTGGAGATGGATTTTCACTTGTGTTTGTAGGGATAGAATGTGACAATATAGGGTCAAGTGAGTTCACTACTATAGGTGAATGAGGGTCAAAATGTAGTGCTGCAAGTCACTGAGTTTGGTTTATTTGGGGCACATTGGTGGATGTGCTGGGCTCAGCCATATGTAAATCAATATATGTGTGTGTGTGTGTGTGTGTGAAGGACAAGGACCGCAAGGAGATGATTTAGAGGTTGAGGGTTGGTAGGTACATGCAAGGAGGAAAGAATTTATACATGTGAGATTTTGTGTAGATTTGTGTTGTAAAGGTTAATGCGTGGGGATTTCGTGGGGGGTGGGCTCAAAGTCGTGGGACTCCAGCGTGTAATGCAGGTAGTTGCTACAGCTAGGGTTTTTGTCTTAGAAAGTTTAAAGCGGAAAGTGATAGTTGAGCTGAGGCGAGTAGCTAGCAAGCTCATCTGCTAAATGAGCGCACGCGCATTGGGGGCGCCTAGCTAGCTATTAGCTGGTATTTGCTCTACTCTCATAGTAGTGCCAAAGCCATCAGCGTTTTCTCTTAATATCTTCTCTTCTGGTTTTATGATTCAGAGGACTAGGAGCTAAGTGGAGCATGGTTGCCAGAGGGATGTCTATAATATGGGTGACGACCAAAACCGATTCTTTATACCAATCAATTGTTTTTGTGGAAGCTTAATAGTAATTTAAGCTGTGTAAAAAGCTGCGTGAAAGTGACAAGCACATTTTAGTTGGTGATCTGGTTGGGTTATCACGATCATCCATCTCATGGTACTTGAATCTCAGCAAGAAAATCTATATTTCGAACCTTACGGCACTGTACTCTCACAATTAAACCCTCAATCGCCAGTTAAAGTCAATTCAGGATGTTGGATCCACGAACCTCCTCCGATCCCCTCTTCCTCTCTTCTCTTCTCTTTCCTTTGTTTTGTCTGAGAAAGTCCTTACAGGCCCTCGATTACTTTACTTTTTATTGAGTTTAATGCCACTGATCGCGTTTTGTCAAGTCATATTAAACAATTAATGTCCTCTGTATCTTACCTGCTTCCTTTGGGCCCCCGTTTTGATTGTTTTTCTTCTAGCTCAAAAGCTTTCATGTTTTTATTATACAATAACGTTAAAAGAATATATTCTTTTATGGTTGGTTAACATGGACTGGACTGTTTATTGAACTGCACCTTCTTTTCTTCTTTTTTTATTACTAGCCACTTGACTTTCGTTCCTAGAAAGGGCTTTTTTGATATATTTTTTTATATAAAAAATTAAATATAAATTGAAAAATTTCCATAATCATTTGCGTAAGTAATAAGTTAAAAAGTGATAATGATAATTAAAATTGAAAATTGAAAAAATTAAAAAAATATAGATTAAAATATTAAATTTATTTTTGCTTGTTGTATTTGTTTTATAAAATTATTTTTTATTAAACCAAATAATAATAAAAATAATTATTGATTGCGGAAGTCAAATTAGTCCGAGTTTTTTTTAATATTTTTATTTGAATTTAGTTTTGTTTGTTAGACTCTTTTTTTGAAAGTTAAATTTTTTTATCCCGATCTTATATCATAGGAGATAAGTTAATCAAATTAATTTTTTTTTATGATATTGATTTTTTTTAATTATATCATTTGATATTAAATTATAGCCCTTAACTTTTGTTATTTTTAACTGTTTTTTTATTAGGTTATCCCGATGATGAGTAAGTAAAGTTAATCCGAATTAATTCAATTTTTTTATAATTTTCTTTTATTGAACTTATGTATATTTTTACTAAGTCCTTCTTTATTTTTATCCTAATTTCATACTGTGAGCGTGAGTTAGTCAAGGAATCCATATTAATTTAAATTTTTTTCTTCAATGTTATATTTTTATTTTTCTAACTTTTAATATTTAATTATTAGATTTTAAATTTTGTAATTTGTTTTTTTTTTCTACGAGTGATTTTGATTTCACATCTTCAATTATATCTTAATAAAATTAACTTGAATTTGCTTGAATTGTTATTGTAAAAGCCTTTTTCTTGTTGTGTTATAAAAAATTAACCTCGGCGGCGTAGCACATATCATTTATCTAATAACAAATGCATTACTTAATTATCCAATGACACACTAAATCAATTAGACATTTGCCCTTAATTTTCTGTTCGTAACTCTCAGGTTGAAATAGAAGAATACCCTTTAATTGAAATATAATTGATTCACAAAATTAGCACAAGTGTTTCATTAATTTATGCAACCATATCATTTATTAAAATGTTGAGATATGCGCACGTTAATTTTTAATTAATCGTGCAACGTTTGCATGTTATTCTTTCAGATGTTCATTAATTAAGCTTTAGAA